ACGTAGGAGTTGAAAAATTCTGACTGGAGCATAATCTAATTAGTTTCTGGGAAGTAGCGTGAAATCTATGAGTGTGTGGAATTTTAGCACAAAAAAAAAACAGGCACGCCGAGAAAAAAGGCATGTGTTCCACTTCGGAGGTGTACGTAGAGGAAACGGAAAGAATCCAGTCTATGTTGAGCCGCGTGAGAAAAGCCTGCTTCTACAAGTTGAGTGCTTCTATATTATGGAGGTCTCGCTTAAACACGCATTTGCCCCCTTCGAAGCCGAAACAAGTTGGGTTAAAGCATGATATTTTCCACTGTACAGGTAAATTCTTCTTTGTTTCCATACAATATCCTCTATGTTTTTTGCGGAAAGGGTGCACAAAGCGTCACAGTTGCCAATTGCCACTGAAAATCAGAGTGCCAATAAAAAGGTATCCCTCCTGTGGAAATGCCGTGTGACCCCAATACACAGACACCCCAACATATGAAAAATGCAATAACTTAGGGACACTTGAAAACCAAAAAAATCAGGCCCAACATCGAGACATTGGCTTGAGTTATAGTCACACTAGCCTGAAATTTTCCCAAAAAATTTTAAAAGTTCATTTTTATTTTTCAATTTTGATCTCTTTTGAACAAATCAAGCTATTTACAGTAGATTCACAAAAATGGAAAAGATATTCCATGATAGATTCACATTAATTCATAATCAAGAAAAGCTGATTTCGTGCCTCTTTTTTCAAAGATTTTTTTGATTACTGTGTCAGTGCATATTCTAGCAAGACTTATTCTTTTTCTTTTTTTTTAAATCTCCTGTTATTATCAAAAGATCAGATTCTATGTGGTTTTGTTCTGTGCTGTTGTTTTCAACAGCATGAATTAAGTTGAGGGAAAAAATTGTTATTCAATTTTTGAAGACTTATTTATATTTTTGACAAAAAGGAGAACCAATTAAATACATCAGCATTGAAGTTTAAGGGGGAATGACTCAACTTTGGGACACTCCAACATCAGGACACTCTTGATTCACCAATTATGTCTGCATCTCAGGGTCTCACTGTACAGTGCAGTGAGTCATTGCAGATGCACTCTCTCCCTACAAGGGAGATCACTGTACAGTATATGATTGGTATTCAGACCCCCTATGGGAACCTAAAAATTGTGGTAAAGAGAAAATTATTGTGGAGAGAGTCAATTTTTGTGCGACTCTAATTGCTGCTTTTAATTTGAAATTTAGTTGCTTGGTGAAGAGCAAGTATTGTATGCCATTAAATTTTGAATTTGATTAATAACCACAACTGGGAGCAGGGGAAGCAATAACAACTGACACTGATTTTTCTATCTTCATCACTTCTTGAGCATACCCTCTCAAGTTTTGATACCTTAACATATGCTGGACATTTTGAAGACTCCTCGCAAAAATAGTGCTCATCGCGTTCATTTTGCGCGTTTTCCATGACGAAATTCTTGCCAACTGCGAGGATTTGATTTTATTCAGATGACGCCACATGACAGCAGCTCCTGCAGGTACAGTCATAAAATCGTCCTGACTGCTGATGAATGTTCGAGAACACGAATAAGTTCAGTAAAATAAAGACGACTGGGTATCATATCCAAGTTCTTCATTCCTTATACAAATCCGGAACACACACACTTCTCTAAAGTTTCCATCATATGAGATCCATGACACTCTGCTTGATTGAAACTAATTTTCATCTCGATCTACCAGGAAAAACAACCACCTTTGGTGGAACAACGAATCGTCCAAGAACATCACAAAACGCATTGCACTTGAATCGTTGGTTTGTCATAAAAGAAGTCCTCGCATAAATTTCGATTCGAATGAGAAAATGTTTTCAGACACAAACGTCGATCAAAATGTCCGTCCAGTGACACAGGATAACTGCAGAAGTCTTTTTGGATACTCGGTATTCTCTAAACTGCCGAAGAAATGTCGCCCAATGATGTGCACAGAAGAGTAGACATTTCTTTTCAGCGAGAAAACGATGCAAAATCAAATCCAGGAGGATGACTCTTCACGAAAATGATTCACTATGATGAACTCACGGCATAGAGTCCATAGACGAATAATCGGCCACATATTCGCATGTAAAGTGAATCAAAATTGGATTTTTCCTTGATTACAAACATATTTACAAACAAAATAAGGTCCATAAGTAATGCTGAAAAGAACAAAGACTCGGAATAATTCTAGATATATTCCTAAGATTTCCTAGGAACACAGAAGCCAAAATTCGACCGTGCTCACGCTTTCTAGAGCCCTTTACAGCAATAAAGGGTCATCCGTTATATTTCTTGATTCATCAACTGGAAAATAAAATATTCTAAACTATAATTCGATTTTTCTTCATGATTTGTTTATCATCCGCATAAGGTTTGACTCGATCAAAGTGCGGCCGATACGCAAGCAAATTTTATTTAAAAAAAATTGCGCTTTCAGGATCGTCTTACATGTTTCTGTTGGTGATGATATATGTACTGTACTGTACAAAAAAAAATTCAGTCACGAGTATTACGAAGAACATCACTGAACAGTTTCCGCTAATTTCGAGAGCAAAGCTCAAGGTACTTCTCGTATAGTTTCGTTCGAATCACAGCAGTCAAATTTTGGCAAAATCTCCCCTTTTCATGGAAACACGAACGAAGCAACAACAACATTCCCCGTTCGACGACACATCATCAGCATAAATCTCAGATCAACAAGAACAGTTCTAAAAAAGAAAAAAAGTAACACGTCGTCGCACGATCATCCTCGAATTAATCAACTGACGTTACGATCAATCATCACTGCGTGCGGATATTATCGTAGCCCATGAGTGCCCGGATCACGTTCAAGCAAACCATGCCTTCAGCGAACCAGGAATTTCCCTGCTGATGGTCATCGTCGTCGTCGTTCTTGGATGACGACTCGAGGATTTCCCGCCAAGTGCGACGGATGCGATTCACAACTTCCGCTCGCAACTCTTCGAACGTCCACCGGAACTCAGCTTCCGCCCCGAATTCCTCCATCACAGACACCGTCTCTTCCACATCTTCCTGATACAGTATGTGCACACGCGAAAACAAAATTCATCTCATTGACACACTGTACCAATATTTTTACCGATATTTTCCTCACATTAAGCTTGTACTCGGACAAAATCAAGGCGGCGATTTCGCAGATCGGCCCAGTCGGGTGTCTCACGGCTGTTCGAGCAAAGTGACGCATCATTTCAACCCCAGCCAGTGTTGCCAAAGCAGCACTGTTCTCGGGGAACCACATTTCCCCTTGAGCTATCAAAAAAAGAGATCACAGCACACAATTATACCACGCATAAAATCCGCAGGGAATCATACGACGAAAATCAGTCATCCAAGACAAACGAAACACATATTCCACATAAATTGTCCTTTCGTGTAGGCTTCTCATCTCACTCATTCCTTTTGTTATCTTGAAATGTGCGACAAAATCTTCTGAAACGGAAGCGGTATACAGTACGTGCTTTTTGAAACGAATGAATTTTATCATTTTTTCAAAACACATCCATTCAAACCATTGTTTTAGAAATTTATATGCTCAAATTTCTTCAAATTTGCATTTCAGTTGCCGCCTGAGCTTTCCTGATCGAATTCCATTTGAATATTTTTTCTCTTTACTGTAAAACATGCTATACACACACTGGGGTACTGCTGGGAAACATGACTCCTTTCAGGACAGCGCGCGGACTAGCTGATACCGAATCCGGAACTCGGCGCGAGTTTAGGAGTCATATCAGGAGCATTGAGGAGACTTCCATTACTTCGTTAGTATTCAAGAGAAAAAACAAGTCTATTATAATTTAAAAAAGAAAAAAAAACCATTGATGACCGCGCGCATTTCAGTAATAGATTCTGGTTTCTTCAATTGATAATTCATCCTGGCGCATTCTTTTTCTTTCTATAATTCATCTTATTTTAAAATGAAGACACAGTGCTGTACAAGGAATTGTGTAAAAAGTGAATCTTTCATCTTCAAAAAGGAAAATACAGTATCCTGAACAAAACAAAAAAGAATGACAAGAGGTGCCTTGCAATTGCTTCTCTCTTGAATTGAAGTTTGCTTTGGACATGAATGACACATTTATCCATCCCTCAAATCCATGATAAATGAAGATTCAAAGCAAGATGAGGTTTGTATTTACTTGAAAAATCCAGGAGTTTTTCATATACAGTATTTCCAACAAGTTCATCAACCAAATATATTGGTCTCATTCAACTCGTTCTACAGTACAATACTGTATTTAAATAATGTGTCTTCAAACTAATTCTTGATGAATCACATTATTTTTTCAATTTGGAAGACTGCAGACATGCTCCTGACTGCCACACTGGCACTTATAGACAGAGTCGAGACTAGGAAATCTAGTTATAATCATTCACACTTCCTATACTGCATAGCCACATCCACAAGCCCACATCACATACAGTCAAACATCTCCAAGTTGAATTTTGAGGGACCAGCAAAAAAATTTGACCTTCAGAGGTTTCCAGTTACAGGGATATAAACAAGCATTTTTGTTGGGGAAAAGAAACAGGAATTTAAAGGAAATTGTAATAGGTGATATTCTGGGGCCTTAAATTGCTTCTTAAATGAGTTGACAGGTTGCTGAACTTGGAGGCAGCAAGGGTTCATTTGCCCAACAAAACACATCATGATTAAAAAAAAATTATTGCTTTCCTCTTTCCTGTGAAAATTGAATACTAGCCAATTGGCCTCCAGAAAATTTGAGTTGTAGAGGTTCAAGGGAGTTTTTTAAGCATTGATTCCAAGGGAATTCAGGCATTGAATTGAACAAACCTTAAATTTGGGAGGTTAAATCAAGTTATCGAGATTCAACAGTACAAAAATCTGTCTGCATACACATACACACAGCATAAAAATGCACAGCTTAAAGTAGGAAATTTGCAAACAATTCCAGTGTGTATAACACTCACAAGTCAGGAGATCAAAAATACGAAAAGCCTTCAAACTGTGCCCTTTTCCCAGAAGCACTTTCAGATATGATCCCAATTCCGCCAACTCTCTTCTCGTGTCGAAACCCGTCAGCAGAACCCGTTCCGACTGCGATTCCCAGTTGATTCGCCGCACCGACAAAACTGGCACTCGCATCATCATCATCATCATTGTCTTCTGCTTCTTCGACTCATCATCAGTGATTGCATCACCAGTTTTTGTTTCTCCGTCGAACGCAGCCAAAAACCGGAGAGATGACTCAGATAAATTCTCCGTTTGCTCAGTTTTCCGCAACTGGCGCAAGAAGGGACCCAGTACATGCGTCTCTTCACCTGCCACAGCAATAAAGCAGATATAAATACAGTACAGTACATACAAATCAGGTAAACCTTGTCTACTTGAAATTCCACAATGAAAGGTTGGGGAACTCTATACTGCTTCAGACAATACACCACCAACTTCACAAACAATTGGTGGCGGCTTATCGCAGTTTGACTGTAGTGCTGCACACTCACACAAGGTCGGACCGAAGACGAGCATGACACAGAAGCGATAGTCTCCGACAGCCTCAAGCATTGCGTTCATCACAGTACAGGCGAAACGCTGACGTTGACTCGCCCTTTTAGTCTTAGCATCGCCAAGCTCCGATGATGGCAACACTCTCGACGCGTGCCAGCTCAGCAACAAGTGTCGCATAATCACTCGTACTTCCATCTCCACCACACTGTCGTAGTCACTCTTGCCGAAACGCAGATTCAGTCGTTGCAACCGACTCGGCAAATCCACGCAAGTCGCGATGAAACGCACCGCCTAAATAAAACCGTTTCATCTTCCATATACAGTATATTCCAAAATTATGCGACATTCTGCAGAGAGGGATAGCTTACTTCGACGACATCCTCTTCGTTGTCCATGTCTGCGCAAAATCCGAAGAAAAGGTGGCCCAAGTAGCTGCACATGATCGGATCTGTGAAGAACTCTAGCCCGACGATCCCTGGGGAGTAATTTCCCTCAGCAACCTCCAACACCTTACAAAAATATACATCCATTTGAATGATCGTAACACATCGACAAGTCGAGCGTCGAGGATATTTGAATAACATTTAGCCTTACCATCAAGTCATGCGAAATGCATGTAACCATCACCGCATATTATATAATATATGCTCGCGCAATCAATAAATATTTCTTTTTAATAATATTTTGTAATGTGCAGCTATTTTCTCGAAGTGAATTTCCGAAAGATTTTTGAGCCGAACAAGGGAACACAGTTCCATGAGTCTTGTCTCCTTCACTTACATATACTGCACCACTAAGGGTTAGAAAAAAAACACTAGTAAACGGCATGTTTTCCAAACCTTGAGGACGACGGATTTGAGGCGACTGAAGAAATCCCCAGTGTTCTGCCGGCGAACATCATCAGCCCAGGCTCTTCCTAAGGTTTCCAGCTAATCCGTGAAGATAGGATTCTTAAATACAGTAGTTCAAGATTTCCATCAACACTTGCATGAAGTTCATTACTTGGATGAGTTTCTGTCCGTATTCCGTGAGAAGCGCATCCCAGGAATCACTCTTCAGAAAATGTGGATGCCTCTTCAAAGTGCGCATCACAGATTCGATCACGAAAATCACAGGCATCTCTTCAGACATGTCTTTGACTCCGATTTCGTTGTTGTTCATTTCATGCTCTTCGAAGAAGTTTATCCGTGATAATATCAAGAAGTAATATGCAGGAACTTGCGTGATACAGCAATTATTTTCGGTAATGAAACGGAAAACTCACCCATGTATCCGCTTTTACAACGGAGCATTGGTTTAATATCTGATGACGCATGATGACCATCGGCATCTGACTCATGTTTGGACATTGTTCACTTTCTGAAGAACCCAGTTGCTCAACGAACCTCCGGTATTCTGTCCGGAAAGAATTCAGGAACGTGAGAAAGATTTCCAGGTTTTAGCACACATATATACGCAGAAATTGTATCGGTTCACACGCGACACAACAGGCTTCAATAATTTTGAATGGGGCTATTATACCCAAGTATAGCCGTACTTCTTGAGGACTCATGTCACTCAATATCAACAGACAAAGATCAGCGTTGGCGGTTCATGCATAAGGATGTAACTCAACATTATAAACTCCATTGATCGTGGCTCACAAAAAAATATCGGCTCGAAAATGACATACACGAATAGTTAACGCAGGCAATCAGCACAGATGCAACATGAACACGTAAAAAACGACGGAATTACCGGTTGATCTGTTGGAACCATTCACGAAAATGCGAACTGTATCGTGTAAAACAACTTCATTGCATAAGCAGTATAGAAACAACTCAGTTCACAAACGAATCGAAAGCACTCAATTCCAGGCAATCTCAGATATGCAAACGATAATAAAATTCCAAGGAAGTAGAACGCAAGGGATCCAAAGTTACTCAGGTTACACATCAGAATTCACCACATTACTTATTGAGATCCGACGAAGAATTCAGAGATTGTACAAGAGTACCCATATAGAGAATCATCTGGGCTTCGCAGCATGTCTTTCATCGGGAAGGTAAGAAAATCTCATATTGGGACTGCATCCATAAACTCAGTCATCGATAAGCAGAACCCCGATGAGTACATAGAACAGGACACCGATCATGAAATTCGGGGACAGGTTCGCGAAAACCCATCAACTCCTGTCGCGGAAACATGACACACAGCATGGACGGAATAATTCGAGGGATCTGTGATGGCCAAGCATGCGTTGATTTATACTTCCCTTCCTACCAAATGAATTGCACTGACTACAACGACACCTACGCATTTTCTTGGAAAGCTTTAGGCTCATTGTCATTTGAAAAACTAGATGTCCGTTCTATCGATATGCATCGCTTTGCCCGAACGGCAAAACTATAAAAGGGTCCACTGCCATATATTAAACGCATAAAATTACTTTCAACAGTCTTTCAGCTATCTTACCTCTCTTTTTCGCGATGAAATGAGTATCCCGGGACTTCAAGGAGGCACGTTTGTGCCGAATAAGGGCCTGTGTATCAACCATGCGTTTCGGTTGGGATGACCTGGCTATTATGGGCATCGGATGCATTATCGGCTATTTCACCTTCAGCGGCATCTACGAGGAAAGCTTTGTACTATGGAGAGCACAGAAAGTACGGTATTGTACCACGGCGCCATCCCGTGTCCTGCTGTACGTGGTTATGTAGAAATACTGTACCAATGTTGTCGCGTTTTGCAGATGGAGAACCTTCTGACAACCATAGAGAAATTTTCTGAAGAGAAGGCTTCTCAGAAGAAACACTTGGAGGATATTGAAGCTGAGAGACGAGTGTATTCAGAGAAACTATCAGCAATTCGCAGCAAATGTTGTCAACTCAGAGTAAGTGAGATCAATACAATTTTTTACTATATTTTTTGTGAAACATTTTTACTAAAGAAATATATTTCTCATAATGAAGGATGACATTGAGAAGCTCATGAAATCCAGGACTGACACAACCACAGTGAAGAGGGCGATTTTAGCAAGAACACAAATTCCTGAAGCATCTGTTGCAGATGTCACCCCTACTGACAAATCTGAGCTTGTTGATGTAAGGCTTAATTAAAAAATATCTGCTCAATGATGACATAACTAAAAATTCACTGTACAGAACTTATGAATGTAGGAGGAACTTTATCAAAATATAGGCTTTAAAGAATCAGGATGTGACTAACATATGTGACTTCATTTTAGATTTTGCCTGGAAAAGTGGAAAGTTATTGCTTCTGAGTTTAACCTGACCTTCTGAACTTTGGAAGAAAATTATTGTAAGGAAAACTTAAGTGCTGAGGGAATCCCCAATATCTCTTTTTTTTTTATTGATGACACAATCATCAACCCACACTTGAAAGAATTTTGAATATTCCTACAGGTGTGAACATATACACTACATTGAGACCCCCAAATGTGGACACCTTGAAATGCAGACAATTTGACATAGGAACATTTGTTTTACAATAAAAAACACTAGGGTTGACAAGTGGGCATTTTATGATAAAATTGCCCATAAGTTTCAGGAAAATTAACTTTTATCAGATTGAATTGTAAGAAATAGATATTTACAACATTAAATGTATATGCAAGAAAAATGCTTTGGTATTTTCCCCATAATTTTCTCATGCATTCAGTAAATTTTTAAAAATTACCTCCAGAATACTGTATATGGAAATGGTCCTTCTCTCTTTGTAACTTGAACGTTATTTTCACAGATGCCAACATTTCAATGTACTGTATACTGTACACATGTACAGTTTTCAATGCTCCAAATGCTCTTATTGAGTTGAAATATATTCACTGAATCAATTTAAATTGGCAGACAATTTTTTCCATGGAATTCTGATGAACATTTCCTTCATAAAACACCAATTAAAAATATATTATGTAAATCTATGGGAAAACCAGACTCAACCAAGGGACATTTTGACCTAGGGACACTCTTGATGCACCAATTATGTCTGCATGTCAGGGTCTCACTGTATTTGTTTTTATGTTGCATTCTGCCTTTTTGATCAATCAAGTAGCTGATAATAATTCACAAAACAACCAAGTAAGCCCATATTTTCAACACATCAATATTGTACTTATTGGCCAGCTTCTGTTTTAGAACTTATATAGGAATTTTCACAGATCATCAAATATTTTCCAAGAGTGTTTCCAACTAACAAGATTCATGGTTGTTTTTACAATCAATTCTGAGAATCACAAAATTGAGTTTATAGGGATTGAGCTGAAATTAACTGGAGCAAATACTTGCATGATTATGTATAATACTGTTGTTTTTTTATTTATACAGTAATATATATGGAATTTTTTCAGTTTGTGAAGGAAAATTGGAAATGTTTTGACAAGTTTTCTAATTTCCTCCTTTAAAAAAATTAGACATAAAAGGATCATATTAAAATTATGAAATTAAATTGTATAGTGAATATTCTGCCTAACTTTTTCTTCCTGTTCCATGATGATATTTTTTGTTTTGTTTGCTGTACTCTAAATTGACAAACAGGTCAAGGAAAAAATAGCACAAGTCATTCAGCAACTCGGGCCTGGAATCAAAGGTCCAAACAAGGTCCAAGTCAAGCAAATGCTGCGCAACAGCAGAGACGAAATTGTTGCCAAAAGACGCATTTGGCGAATTCAACTGGATTTGGCAGAAATTGAGCAACAACTCAAGTCGGAGAGTCGGCTGAGCGAACTCAAGAAACTCGGATTATCCGACTCTGATGATTCATGAATAATAATAGCAATATAATAATGCTAATTATTATCATCACGCGGGTGCAATTTTCATTCAGAATAACCTCGAGCCAGTGCTTTTGACCTTGTAAGAATTTTTGTTTTTGTTTTTCGCCTGCTGTGTTGCTGCAAAATCTAGGAAAAAAATAAAGGAATTTATATATGCACATCAGAAAAAGAAAAAAAAATGACACCATGAGGAAGTAGATGCGCGTGCCAAAAAATGCAGTGTTTGCCAGCAGCTATGTGATGTGCAGAGTTCCTTTTGGCAACTTGCCCTAATGGCATAAGCAAAGAATAATACCCAAGAATTCCTTTGGCACTTGAGGGAAAATCCAGAGCTTCTCTCATCTTCAGTTGCTCACAATTCTCCAGAGTGGAAAGGTGCTGCATGTAGACTTGTCATTCCTTGCTAATTGGCCTGGCTAATTGATTCAATTATAATATGTGCTGCTGATGCTGAGACATTGGAGTGTCAATAAGTGTCTCAAAGTGAGAAAGATGAATAAGGGGAAATTGAATAAGAAAACCCACTTGGTTTTGAATGTCACTCTATTATTCCTCACAGATATGCAACATATGGTGTATCTTATAGTGAATATTGGCCATGTTTTGTCTTTGAGTTTTATTTTGTATAAACTAAATATATGAACCTTTTCACCAATAAGTTACCAATATTATAGGAGAAATGAAATTCAACTTGCCAAAGTTTGAAGTTCCAAAAGTCCCCTCTTTCAGCAGGTGAGTTTCAAGATTTCACATTTTTTTCTGACTGAATGTCTTATAGAGAGTGGGTCCAATGCATTATAAGGTGAATTCTGTTGTGCAATAAATATGCTTCCTTCTGTTGGTATATAATTTAAACATATTTGTTTCAATCCATCAGCAGACTAATCCTTTTTCAAACTTGAAAACCTGAGTATAAAAATTAACAAGGCAATACAGTAAAAGACTTATACAGTATAGCATTAAAAATTGAGGCATTTTGATGTTTTTGAGTGATTTAAATTTTGAAATCCCAAAATTAATGAATAACTTAGTACTTTTAAACTCTTTCATGCTGTGAAAGAACTTATCAGTCAATTTTTGCAGAGGAAAAAATTGTCTTATGCAAAATTTAAATTTGTTGTTACTATACAGATACACTTGTACCTTTCACAACAAACATGTAATTCATTGAAGCAATGTGTTTGTTGTTTGGTTTGTTACAAATCATGTTTTTCTATGGTGAACAAATTTGTTCTAAATGCTATTTTTTAAATGTATATATGAGAGTAAAAAATTGATAAACAACACATTAATTCTGCAGCTGAACATGTGTGAGGTTTTTGTATTATGAAGTACCACTTATTGTATATATAAACTCTGGGTTAAATTTAATCTTGAACATCCAGCTTCAACTCCAGGTTAGATAAAGAAATGCTATTCCTTTTAAATCAATGCCACACATTTCAATGATGCAGTACTACACTCTATATTTTTTCTGTTTGATAAGATTAATTACATATAGATGCGACATCTATCTGGGACTCTCAGAAATGATGAAGGAGTTTTGATGACACATGGCAATAATGATGCAGATTAATATGTATAGTGCCTTTTTTTAAATTGAAAAAAGCATTTTAATGGCATTCAAAGGGCAGACATCAGCTGGGATGATATAATAATGACCCAAGTGAATTTGACCTGGCATTGGATGCATGCATCACTGCTGTATGCATGCATTATTGACATTCTTTGAATATCAGCAATAGAGGGGCGGAGGGGAGCAAAAGCAGCGAATCACGGCCTCAAAATAAGCAGCCAGGAAGTGGTGTGGGATTCGGTGCCAAGTCTAGGGAACAAGTGTCCAATTTTATCCAAAGAACCAGGAGGACCTTGACCCCGACCAGGTCAAGATCTAAAAAAGAGAAGCCATCTTCAGGGTCTGCTACTGATGTCCCACAGGGCACTGAGTTGCAGAAAAGCAACTCTGATTCTCATGTCACCAATCTCAAGGTTGGTGATGCATGTATGCTGATATTTGATGATGAAACTATACTGCAAGGCTTTATATACTGCATTTAATTCTGACATCCATTAAAACTGACAATAAAAGGAATAATATCATTAACATAAGTTTCATCATGTCTGTTGAATGAATGAATGAATGAATGAACAGAAAACTTTATTTGCCGCTTTTCAGCGTTCATAGGGAGGTTTTAACTTAGGGAGATTTTGAATTACACAGGTTTGAGCTACAAGACAAACCCCTTTTGTTGAATATTCTCTCAACTTTAATTTGTTTGGGTAAACAATTTCATTATAAAGGCTGCTGCTGGGGTCATATATCAAGAGGAATACTTGATAAAGCCTCTCTTTATTTTTCCCAAGATTTCTTTTGATTTGCAACCCTTTTTGGCCAGCAATGCTATTTGGCATGTACTGTACAATTAGAAGGCAACCTTCACATTCAGCACAGGTACCAACAATTGCAACAGTTAGTGTTGTACAGTATTTCTAACATTTGAAGTTGGGGTTTAGATGTTGAGATACTGCGTACTAACTGGTGAAACCATATTCAATAAATTAAAACTTTTGTGTTTAATTATGAGACTGCCTGGAATTTCATCATCCCTCAACAGTTGGCAGATCAGCAGCAGATGTTGAACATTTTTCATGCATATTCCATTTGATAATAATGAATATGAATTATTCATTTGCTGAAGGTATGTGGGAATAAAACATTAACAATACAGTCAACCCCTGCACAATCAACATCCTGCACAATGGATTTTTGCACAACAGACCACCTTTAGAGGTGGGTTTCCCTCCCATCACAATGGACTGAATCTTCCTAACAGACTTCTATTATTGGTTTAAAATTATTTGTAAAAAGTATAAATTTTACTTTTTTAATAATTAAATTGGCATAACAGACTTTTCAAACAGCAGACTAGTCTGTTGCACAAATAAGTTCATTCTGTGGGGGTTGACTTTATATTTCAAGAATTGCTTACCATAATGGAAAAGTTATGCTGTTTTTGACCAGAGTTTACCCTGAATGAACTCAGAAGGGCAGGATTTTTCAAAGATTTTGTCAGCTCATTTAAATGGATCTCATTTTATGGTAAATCTTGCCCTGAGAATTGGCATAAAAGATTTTGCATTCACTGTTTCTTTGCCTAATGTAAAATCATGAATTGAATAGTTGATGAGGTTTTGTTGTGAAGCATATAAGCAATATAAATGTCTTGATAGTCTGTAAATATTGAGACTTGAAATTTTTGCATTCAGTCTGTCAACAGGTGCTACATCAAGTACAGTATCATCATCATGTGAGATGAAGAATTATACCTTGGAAGTTATATTACTGTACAGTGTTGCTATGGTTTCTTCAGGGATCAAATTGGAACAGTGGTCTATGTTTTTTTTAAAAACTACAGTTGAACCTCTCTAAGTCAACTTTAAAGAGACTAGCAAAAAACGCAATTTAATGCTGAGGTTTTGACTTAGGGAGATTTTGGATTACACAGGTTTGAGCTACAAGTCAAACCCCTTTTGCTTTGGGGAACATCAACAAATTGCCCAAAATTGTAAATGATGATATTCTGGAGCCTAAATTTGCTTCTTATATGAGTTGAAATGATGCTGAACTTGGAGGCAGGGTTTCAGTATTCTCTAGGTTTTTAATGTACAGTTTTGTTTCTATTAAGGGGATTCAGACAGGGAACTGAACAAATTTTTTATTAAAGGGTTACACAACTTAGAGAGGTTTGAGTTATCAAGGTTCAAAGAAATGTCTCCAGCATTCACCCAACAGTAAATGATCAAAGAAAACACAATAAGGAATAAGTTGAAATAACACCTTTGAAATTTGCTTCTTCTTGTTCATCTTCAGGGAATACTGAAAGCATCTGCAAGTAAGTCTGAGCAAGATGAAAGATCCCCTGAAAGAGCTGTTCAAGACCAAGACACCTTCTTTTCCTCCACTTCATCAGGTAAAAAAATTAATAAGTTGAAGAAAATATAGTGATGAAGATGTGTGAAACATGAGGAATTTTGTTGATGAATATAAAGTCATCCATTTGCAGAAATGGGCTTCTCTACAAGACCTGGGGACCTGAAAAGTGTGGAGTCTGGCAGCAGGAGCACCATGGGAATGGCCAGAGAACTGAGTCAGAGTTCCATCATAGAGCGGGTGAAAGCAGCTGATGGCACAGAAACCTTTTCCAGACCACCACGTCCACCACCACCAAAAGTAAATACTTTATAACCCTTATATGTATATAATCATGAAATTGAAAGAATATATATAATCCCTGACAGTCAACAAAGTGCTGCAATTGAAAGGATTTTTTTGGCAAACCAACTATTTGGTCAACACACTTGATTTAGAAACTTTCTGGTGAACAATCTTTTTGCTCAACAAACTTTTTTATATTGCTGATCAACAGAACATTTATGTTTTAGAAGTTGTGTATATACATATGCTACACTATATGCTGTAAAATGACCCAAAGTTAATCATGACCCCATAAAAAGTATGTTTTCTGGGATTTATTGTTGGATTATACAGAGACATGAGAGAGATATTTAATCCTGCAGTGCATCAGTTCTTCCCATGGTGAACATGAATCACATTCATGAATTTACTAAAATTTTAATTTGAAAGCTCCATACAGGTGGTACCTCACAATGTGACCCTAATCTGTTGCCAAACTAGGGTCAAATTGCAAGACACTTTGTGAAATTCAAAAATATCAGTAAGAAATGCAAAAAAGTGGCCAAAGCAGTTTGGATTGCAGGCAAGGTTGTAGTGTAGTGTAGGGTAGGGTAGGTTGTAGTGTAGGGTAGGTTGTAGGGTAGGATGTAGTGTAGGGTAGGGTGTAGTATTGGGTATGGTAGTAATTATTTAGTTATATGATTTTTGAGTTGAAATGATGCTGAACTTGGAGGCAGGGTTTCAGTATTCTCTAGGTTTTTAATGTACAGTTTTGTTTCTATTAAGGGGATTCAGACAGGGAACTGAACAAATTTTTTATTAAAGGGTTACACGACTTAGAGAGGTTTGAGTTATCAAGGTTCAAAGAAATGTCTCCAGCATTCACCCAACAGTAAATGATAAAAGAAAACACAATAAGGAACAAATTAAAATAACACCTTTGAAATTTGCTTATTTTTGTTCATCTTCAGGGAATACTGAAAGCATCTGCAAGTAAGTCTGAGCAAGATGAAAGATCCCCTGAAAGGGCTGTTCAAGACCAAGACACCTTCTTTTCCTCCACTTCATCAGGTAAAAAAATAACAAGTTGAAGAAAAAATATAGTGATGAAGATGTGTGAAACATGAGGAATTTTGTTGATAAATATAAAGTCATCCATTTGCAGAAATGGGCTTCTCTACAAGACCTGGGGACCTGAAAAGTGTGGAGTCTGGCAGCAGGAGCACCATGGGAATGGCCAGAGAACTGAGCCAGAGTTCCATCATAGAGCGGGTGAAAGCAGCTGATGGCACAGAAACCTTTTCCAGACCACCACGTCCACCACCACCAAAAGTAAATACTTTATAACCCTTGTATGTATATAATCATGAAATTGAAAGAATATATATAATCCCTGACAGTCAACAAAGTGCTGCAATTGAAAGCATTTTTTGGGCAAACCAACTATTTGGTCAACACACTTGATTTAGAAACTTTCTGGTGAACAATCTTTTTGCTCAACAAACTTTTTTAGATTGCTGATCAACAGAACATTTTTGCTTTAGGAGTTGTGTACATACATTGAACATCTTATGCCACACTATATGCTGTAAAATGACCCAAAGTTAATCATGACCCCATAAAAAGTATGTTTTCTGGGATTTATTGTTGGATTATACAGAGACATGAGAGAGATATTTAATTCTGCAGTGCATCAGATCTTCCCAGGGTGAACACATTCATGAATTTACTACCATTTTAATTTGAAAGCCCTATACAGCAGGTGGTACCTCACAATGTGACCCTAATCTGTTGCCAAACTAGGGTCAATTTGCAAGACACTTTGTGAAATTCAAAAATATCAGTAAGAAATGCAAAAAAGTGGCCAAAGCAGTTTGGATAGCGGGCAAGGGTCAAATTGCAAGTCAACCTCCATGCAAACTTGACCATTGCATTGCAGGATGTTTTAGTTGCAGGAGGTTGAATTGTAAGGTACCATCTATACTGTTAACAAGAGAGACACATATAGCTGCAAAAGAACACAAAAGATCTGCAGTAAAATGTTGTTTCAATGAAGCCATTGGCACTATGTATAAAATGGCTTTATTGTGATGAAAAATGTGTTATAAAGTAAATAATTTAACATTATGGTTATTATTAGGTAGGGACCTAAACATTACTTTGTTGTGAGTAATTCATCATAATAAAATATTTGCTGTAAAGACACTTGACTTTATCATATAGGTTTCATTAAAAATGCATTGCAATTATAATAAGGCAAATGTATAGCTCACATAAAAAAAAATTAAATGAGCTGATGATCTTCAACAAATGCATGTTCCAATACTTTCAGAGGTTCCAGAGGAAGAAGCCAAATATAAGGCAACAAGGATCAGAGTCTCCCACCAGGCCATCAAGGCGCAAAGAGCCTGTTGGTCAGAGACACCTGAGAGTCAATCAGGACATTCCTTACATGGAGGATGGAGAGACTGAAGTACCTGAGGAAAATGTGCAGCAGAGTTACCCCTGTCCTTTCCTGTTTGAAACTCATGACACATTTGCTGACTCTGAGGCCTTTGTGGAAATGCTCACTCAGAACATCCTCAAGGACTCCTGGGATGACTACAAAGGACAAGTGAGATTTCCCCCCACCAATAGCTTCATGTGTGATTGTTTAAACTGAAAATACTGTAATTTAATAATGTCAAGGTACTGCAATGGATTGATCTGCAATCCATGGTCTGCAGATCAACACCTGTCTGTATAGAAGTTTTTTTTTTGCTGGTCTGTGGGAAATTTTCTTCCACATAATATATATGCATCAAAACTTTAAAAGTTTCAATGAAGACCGCTATTGTTATCTGAAATTGTGGAATGACAATACATTTGGTACCTTGCAATTCAACACTAATTCATTGCTGGACTAGGGTCAAACTGTGAGACAACATCAAATGTCATGTTTTCTACACATTTTATGTCTCTCTGAAGGTCAAATTGTGTAGCAGAGGTTGAATTGAGAGTTGACCTCCCACTTTTGAATTGTGGGATGGGCAAATTTCAAGTGGTCAAATTGTGAGGTACCACCTGTATAATGGTAGTTGAAATGATCTGATTAAATAATGGCTTTTATCCTCAAAATAACACTTCAGAAAATTTCTACAATGAATCATTTCCAATTTTCCTTCTGATAGTAGTGATAGACCTTTCTTCAACCCCAACTTTCTAATTTTTTGAAGACATTGCGCTATAGCTGCTTCATTTGGTTCTTAGCTTAGTTTTTAAAATTAACGTGTTTGAGGATTCTATGGAAAGTGTTTAAAAATGTTTCTGCTGGTCTGCAATGCTGTGCTGGTCTGCAAAAAAAATTATGGAAATTTGCCAGTCTGCAGGCCCAAAAGGCTTGGGGGAGCACTGCTGTAGTGTACAATTTTTTCAAAATGTTTGCCAATGAAGTGGAGAATACAGATTGAACACTTTCCTCAATAAATAAATAGAATGACCCTTCATGCAGGAACAAAGCAAGTTGAAAATATGAGCTGAAATTGTCTGCAAAGCCAACAGCCCATCTATTATGTTTGCTTGACCTGTCATGGGGTGTGCATGTGTTTATATATAAGTGAAAGTAAACAATTATCAATGCATATATACATCATCTCACTATATATAATGATACAAATCATTGCATTTTCAAAATCAAAATTCTCTGGCTTTCCACAGATCCTACCCAATAGTAATAGTGCCAGGAGCACATCACAGACCCTGTGGAAACTGCCACAGAGCACCCAAGAAGTGGGGGCATCCCTCATCAAGGCCCTGGAGCTCCAAGTGGAGATTGAGAACAAACTCAAGGAAGACAGGGACACCAGAGAACGTCGCATGAGAGACATTGAGTCCTGGGAACAAGAGATCAGAAGCATTCAAATCCCACCCAGCAGCTCTGCTGGTTGCTGGGACTCCCACTCAGCATCATCCAGCAGAGTCATGATGGCCTCCCAGAGTCTGGACAGAAGAAGACTGCGACCTGCATCAGCACACACCATCATCACAACAGACTCTGCTGCTGCTGCTGGTAATAATAATAATAATAACAGGGCCTGGATGAGGTCCAGCACTTTGCCAAGACCCCCCAGACCCCCTGTGAGGACCAAGAACAAGGTCAGCAGTAGGTCCAGTCTGCCTGACTACAAACGCATCAATATGGAGAGGCGCCCTCTACCTGCACCACCCACACCTCCAAAGCTCAGGACTGCTTTGCCACCAATGCCAGCTCCAAGGACTATCTTCTTCCCATCATCTGCAGGAAATAACAACAACAACAACAACAACAAGTCCTCCTCCATGACGATTCCAATCAGAGCATCAGCCATGGAATCATCTGATTCACTCATTAATACTCAGCATCCCCAAGACGTGATGGTGCCCGCGGGAAATGTGATCCAGGATATTCCGAGGGGCGTGATCCAAGCCATCGTGGAGATCAGCAGGGGCGTGTTCATGGAGGCGGCCATTGACAAGGACCGGACTGTCAAAGAGCTCGGACAGGGTCTGAGCGTGCCTGAACTCAAGGTGGGCAGACTGAGCGTCGAGGAGCTCAGTGCAGTCAGGGTCATTGTCAACAACTTGGCTGCCAAACACGCAGCATCCGCATTATTCGACTCTTCTGCCAAAATTGGCCAGATTTATGCCAAAAGTTCTCGCGTGCCACTTATGATGGAGAATAATAATAATGAAGAGAAAAACGCGGATGACTTGAGTCATGTGTCGACTGATGACGTGAGCAAAACGGAAGACTTTAGCAAGACGGAAGACATTAGCAAGACAGGTTAGTGCAAATCCACTGCATTCAACAACTACAGCCAACCACCACACATGGACTTAATTTGTGCAACAAACTATAGTCTGTTGTGTGAAAATTCTGTCATGCAAATTCAATTATTAAAAAATTAAAAATTTAAGATTTTAACATTTAATTTTAAACCCACAGAAGTCTGTTTGGTAGATTTAGTCTGTTGCACAGGAGGAAAAAGCACCTACAGTGGTTTATATAGTCTGTTTTACAGGGGTCATCTGTATACATATCAAAGGAACATTCAGAAAATATAAAATTCCATTTAGTTGAAGGAAATAAACAGTGAATCAGGAAAATTTTTTTCCACATCAGCCAGATTCAACAATAGTTTGCTGTTTACTTTTTACTCAGAATATGAAATTATTGCAAGTGGTGGCATGTACTGTACATGCAAATGCTGTAGATCAATGCTCCCCAGCCTGATCTGCAGGAAATTTTCAGCCTGATAAATGCATGACAAGTAGTAATGAAGTCCATTATCTTCACCTAAAATTTCTCAAGGACAATTGCAGTTATGTTGAAATTATCTGATGAAAGTAAAAGTTGGCTTCTCACTTAATAACACACCATGCAGAAAAATTTTCTCCTTCAGAAATAAATTATTTTCATTTTTAATTCTGAGAAACCGTTCTTCAAGCCCACCTTCAATTAAATTTTGGCAACATTCAGCTAAAACTACTTCATTGGTGCCCCAGTCAATTGCCAAAAGTCAAAAACTTTTATTACCTGCCATGAAGTCTTTCAAGCAAAACGTTTGCGCTGTATCTACAAAAATTTCACAAAACTTTGCCATTCTTCAAAAAATGTTATGCATATTTATTTGTCAGTGGTCCCAAAAAGGTTGAAGAACACTGCTGCAGAAGATCATTATTCATAGAAGAACATATGCTTGACAGGTTTTGGAATATGACCCTTGGGCAGCACTGCCAATATTTATTAGCACAATTTTGTGCCACATGTGAAAAATTGAAATATCTTGCAAGATCAGAAAAGCCAATCCAAAATTTTTCTTCTTTTCTGAAATTTTCCTTAAGCAAACTTATTTACTGCTTGTATTGGCATTTTTTCCAAATTCCTATTGTAGGATTAACATTGCAATGGTTTCCACTTGCCCAGCGTTTTCCAGACATTGGCTGCTCAGCCAAAGCTGCATTTTGGTTAAACCACAATTTCACAAGTGTGCAAAAATTTACCAGCACTGCTGCATCATGGAATTTAACCCAATGCCATCCCAGGGTTATACTCCTAAATATTTGCAGCATCCTGCAGAATAAATTTTGAATTTTCATTCCATTTCATTTGTACAAATGCCTATAGTGCTTATTTTCATTAAAAATTCAGATGAATCCATTGGTTTTTTTCATTTGCAGATGATGTCACCACAACATTTGAGTCGCTTCCAGGGGAAACTACTGAGTCATCAGCAACCTTTGACACTGACTGTGAGAGTGATCTGGAGGGGTCCATAAAGTCTGTTGAGATTTGAACATATGCTTGACAGGTTTTGGAATATGACCCTTGGGCAGCACTGCCAATATTTATTAGCACAATTTTGTGCCACATGTGAAAAATTGAAATATCTTGCAAGATCAGAAAAGCCAATCCAAAATTGTTCTTCTTTTCTGAATTTTTCCTTAAGCAAACTTATTTACTGCTTGTATTGGCATTTTTTCCAAATTCCTATTGTAGGATTAACATTGCAATGGTTTCCACTTGCCCAACATTTTCCAGACATTGGCTGCCCAGCCAAAGCTGCATTTTGGTTAAACCAAAATTTCACAAGTGTGCAAAAATTTACCAGCACTGCTGCATGATGGAATTTGACCCAATGCCATCCCAGGGTTATACTCCTAAATATTTGCAGCATCCTGCAGAATAAATTTTGAATTTTCATTCCATTTCATTTGTACAAATGTCTATAGTGCTTATTTTCATTAAAAATTCAGATGAATCCATTGGTCAAAAAGTAAACGTCTACTACAGTGGTGTTGTAAACTCAGCGAAGGTCCCCTTTGATGACTCAGTAGTCGTTGGAAACTGTGACTGACACTCTCACTAGACCTCCCCAGGTATTTCAGACAACTCTAAGTCTTTGATGCCATTGAAGGTACTCTGCAAACCTTCCAAGACACCATTGCTTCTGGTCCAGAGACACAGCAGTGAAACAAAAAAGATCTTATTGTACAAGTCTCCATGTGTAGAGTTCACTTTCCTGCCACTCCCTTATTTCTTGATCAAGAAACTGACCTTTGTATTCAACCATTGAGTATAACTTGAACATGCTGGTTCTGTTTGGAACATTGCTGAGGTTCATATGCTGAAGAAATGTGTGCCTTTTACTTGTGGGGATTGAGAAGAAAACAAAAGCTTTTTGAATGCACTGCTCTATTGTTATTCACAACCAAATTTGTGGGAGTTTCAACAGTTTTATAATGAAGAGCACCAGCAGGTCCTCTGGATCATTCCAAAACCTGGGAAAAACCTTCTCTGCTTCATCCCTTTCAAGGTATATGAAAGATTATTCACAAGAATTGCCACAAGGTTTTTGCCAATGCTCTGCAATTATCATTGTCTCAAGACCTCAGAATCAATGTGTGCAACCTGAAGCATTTCACAACAAAAAGCTCAATGAAGACATGTTGGCTGACATGTACCATATTTTGGTCAACAAACGCAGTCCAGAGATGAGTACAAAACAATTGGCCAAGCTAATGCAAAAAGAACTTGGCAAGGATGGGGAGCACCAGTTGGTGGACTTGTGCAGAATGTGCACCAATGACCTGCTCAATTGTTACAACAGGTTTGAACTTGTATGGAACCTGGATGTGGTCAAGAATTTGCATGTGAAGGCCTGGAGACCAAGTGCTGATGAGGCCCAGGAAATACATTCCCATTTCCACAAGATAAACCCTGTACCATCTATTGGCCTTTTTAAAAATATATATACCGTATTTACTTGAGTACCCTGTGCCCTCAATAAGTAAGGCACACACAGGGGTTTTTCAGTTCAAAATTTGGCTAAAATTGTATCCCCAGCCCCAAGTAAGATGCGCACTGCATTTTTAGTGTTTCTAAAACCTCAAAATTTTGAAAATAAAAACAAAAAATTTGATTTTGGATGTGAATTGAACATGAATCTGATCAATTTTCAAAATTTTCAGCAAAAAAAAAGTTTGCTTGGTACATTTTTCACAAAGTTCTCCACTATAATCAAATATAATTAACCCACAACTTCCAAAAACGTCTTGAAAATTTGTACCCGCTTATGACGCGCACCCCTTTTTTTCTTCTGAAATTTGAGAAAAAAGGTGCACGTGGTACTCAAGTAAATACGGTATATAATTCATTTTGGGCCTCATCAATTGCAATTTGGTTTTGTCTTCAGCATTGTCCAGTCCCTGAGCCAATTGAAGTTGAGGATTGCAAGAGTCCAAGGATGGATTCTGCTTCTGCTAGGGTCACACCATTGACAACTACCATGGATGTTACACCATTGACTACAATAATGGAACTCACACCATCACCCTCAGCAAACTTGCAAAATATCACTCCTGCAGATGAAGTTGACAAGAGAGTGTCTTACTCCATTGATGAGAACAAATCCAGAATGCTGAAGGCTAAAGGAAACCTAGACCCAGGTGTGAAAAATCTGTTTCAGCAAGAAGCTCCCACATTTCAATGAAAATAATTAATGTGTAATTTTCTTCAGGAGACATACCCTTGAAAGACAAGCCATTTGTCAAGATACTTGACAGTGTACACTGGCTCACTCATTGCCAAAACTGCTTCAAAAGATTCACTTCTCCACCAATTCCTTGTGCCAAGTGCCTCATGGTGGGGAATGTCACAATAAACCACTCTTTCATTTCTTCAAATGTTCAATTTGAGGTTTTCCTGTGTATATAAGGTCATGTTCTGCAGCCATACCTGCAAATATGCAGCAGGAGCTTTTCACTCAATAGAATGTCCTCAAATGGGAAATCTGTTGGGAATGAGAGCAAGGAAAAATTCCTTGTTGGTGTACAGAATCTTCTCTCAAAGTGGTTTGGCTGAATTCAAAAAGTTGGAGAAGAGATTGAGACATCTGGAGGGCAATGAACACAGAGAAGTCCCACCTCATGGCCTGGACATGTCCTCTTATCTCAGTCTGTTTTATTTGCACAGAAAGGATGAGGTTGTCAGACAATGCAGCTCTGAGTGAGTTCTCAACTTCAAGAATATTTGCTTTTTAATATCAAGGTTCACTTTGGTATTGCCCCTTCCCTATATATACCTTTCTTAGAATTCATATATTGACTGCAAATGGGGGTCTGAAAAATGCTGAAGAGTTACAGTATCACTGATAGTAATTACCATGCATGACTGTAATACAAAGTTCTGTTTTCTGATTTTCAATGTCAGAATTCATTACTGGCATGTTTCTTATGAAATGAGATGCATTTTGTATGTTGTGTGCATTGAAATATTGGAGAGAAGGTACCGGTACCAGAGTGTGTGTTCTATATAGTTGATATCACTGTTTTAATTCAACTTGAAATTATTCACAGTCATGGATTGAGAGCCTCATCAGGAGAATCCCTGGAAAAATACCCAAATTCAATGACACCAAAGAATGTGGAGTCCATTGAATCCCTGGGTGAAGGAGAAGATGCAGAGTACCATGTTGATGAAGCTCTGGAAAGGATGGCAGAGGCCATATTGCTTTTGAAACTGCTGGAAACATCTTCATTTTTTGAAACCCTACCAATTAAAAACTGGGAAGTGGCTCCTGCTGATGCTCAATCCAAAGAACTTGACAGACTGTTCATTGGTGACAGAGAATCCACTGTCATTCATTCTTGGAAACCCCCTCACAGATGCTCTGTAAATTTTTTGGCAGGTCATTTAATATTCTTTCACTTGAAGACCATGTCAGGACAGGTCTTTGAGATCCCATGCAAGATTGTAAAGAAGAACCAGTTTGCTGAGGCAGCCACTGTGACTTTGGGATTTGGACTCTTTCCCAGACTCACATTCATCAACCATTCATGTTTTTCCAATTTGCATGTTTCAACTGCTGCCAATGGGGAGGTTGTGGCAAGGATTGTTTATCCAGTCAAGGATAATCAGGAGTTGACAATTTCCTATGGTGACATTGGGTATTTCAGTGACCAGCCCAGAGATGCACGCGCAAGTGCTGCTGCAAAATTGTTAAGTGGACCAATGTTTTGCATCCCAATGTTGGGTTCTTTTTACTCAAACACTTATTTCATAAAACAAGTGTTACTATAAAAGGAACTGTGCTGGTAGAAGTTTACACCAGTGTTTCCCAACCTGTGGTCTGTGGACCAGCACTTAGTCTGTGGAAGTTTTTTGCCAGTCCACAGGAAATTCTCACCATAATACATTTACCAAAAGTAGCACTGAAGTCTCTTATCTTCATTTAAAATCTTGAAAATAATTGCAGATGAAATTATCTGACAAAAAATAAGAGTTGGCTTTTTCCTAATAACGCTTAAGCTGAAATAAATTGCTCACACTTTTCATTAAAAAGCTTTCTGCAAGCCTACCTTAATAAATTTTTGATGACATTCTATGGCTGCTTCATTGGTGTTTAAACTAATTTTTTGCAGAAGATCAGAAACTTTTAAATACCTGCTATAAAGGTTTGCAAGTAAAAATGTTTATAAGTCAGAAACACTTCAGATCTTCTCTTGCTGAGAAGATTAGTCACTAATGTGCTGATAAGATAATATATATTTTCATGCATTATTTCACAATTTAACTTTAAATTGTAGACTCAATTCATAAACCATTGCCTGTTTAAGTTTACAATTTTAAACTTGTCTCCTGATGCTCAATTTTCTGGATTATTTCTCACCACATATTTTGGGCAATGAAAATACTAATGGGGTATAAAGGAAAATAGCTGTTGAATTCAATTCAGTGTACTAAAAAGTTTTAATTTTGTAGGTGGGACTTTGCTTGTGAATGCCAAGCTTGCACAGAAAACTGGCCTCTTGCCTGGGACATGAACCAGGACTTGGAGCTGTGCTGTCCATCCTGCACAACACCTTTGCCAACAGGTTAGAGCAGAAGAATTAAACAAATCCCACCAGATCTCTGAGAAGCTGATTTTATTGCCTCCCAAGAAGAAGTGATTGACAGGGTCACAACAGGAAACACTTGCATATGTCCAACATGTGAACATGACCAAACCCAAGTCCTCTTGGAGCTGGCTGATGAATTTCTGTCAACTGACAACAAACTGTCATCTTCAACTGCACTTTTTCCTATTCCAAAATCCTATCAGAAGTCCTACAAACTCCTGTTTGTCAGTGGGCGCCCTGAAGCAGCTGCTCATATGATGGAGTCTTTTTTGACCAAATTCAGCTCACTTTTCAAGATGCCCAGTTACCCCATCACTCTGGCCACAACACACTTGTTCAACTGTTACAATTTCATGCATAATAATGTTTTCTTTGATGACTGATTAATCATTGGGAGGAATTGAATAAAGGGTTTTGCAGAACTCTGAGGATGAGTCTTTCAGCTGCCATGAGAACCTGAATGAAGGACAGTCCAAGGTAAAGACCCCAAGTGCCTCCAAGTTCACTCATGAGCTGATGGAAATCATAAGCATACTGTTGACTGACCACTTTCATCTCATTTGATGAAAACTCAATATCCACACCACTTTCCTTGGGCTGTGTCTCATTCAGTAACTTGACAGAGTTGAAGTTGACATCCATGGCACTGCCTGACAAGTCTGTCCAGGAATAGTGGTAAGTTGTGCAGGGCTTGGGACACTGGTCCAAGCAACTTGAATGTGCTTGTCTCCCTTTAATGGTCCAGTCAAGAGCTAACCATTTCTGGTAATCCTCAATAGAGGAGCAAATCTTCACATTTTCATTATTTGTCCCCGGTAAGCGACATGTGTGCTCCATGAAAGTGTTTTCCAGGCATTCTGCTTTGCACTGAAATTTCATAAACCATGGTAAGAGTTTTTGAATATGCTGCACAGTTGGTACCCTCTAATGTGGACATAATTGATGCATCAACTGTGTCCCTATGTTGGAATATCCCAATGTCAAAATTGAAATATTTTTAATTGGTTTTCCTACGTAGATCAAAATTAAAGTCTCCCCAAAAATAGAAAGAAATAACGTTATCACCTTAAAAATACTGAAAATAAATGTATGGAAGAAAACCAGACAGAATCTGATCTTTTGACATCAGAAAAATCATAAGAAGCAAAAAACCAAGTTTTGCCATACTGAGCACACATGATCAAATACATTTACTGTATATCAATAAGCAAAAAGTTAGCTCCTTTTGAATTATTAATTTTGGTAATTTAAAGTAACCTTTATTTCTAGTATTTGTAACTGTAAATAACTCAATTTCTTCAACAAATCTGAAAATTTTGAAAAATGAAAACTAAAATGTGTTCAGACATTTTGGGGAAATGTCTGTAAGTCAAGTTATTGTCCAAATGTTGAGTCAGATTCTTTAAAGTTTCAAGTTTCCCCAAGTCAAATTGTCCATAAGTCAATAAGGTGTCTGCATTTCAGGGTCACACTGTAATAAACTCCAAGAAGGTTATTCAGTGGACAAAAAAACAAATTCTGCCTTGAAAGACAAGTTGAGTAAATTTGAAAACATGAAACAGAACTCACCAATTTAGAGGTTGCAAGTAATGAAATGTCATGGGTGCATGGATTGGAGCTTGTACTGAGCATTTCATATTTCTCTGTTGTTATCCTGAATTTTGCATAAGGGTTATCAGTCACATCCAGTCTTCTAAATCCAAGCTCATCATATGGAGTAGTCCAAGTATACAAGTCCAGTAACTCATTTGGCTGGGTTATGTATATCCAGTACTTGAATAGTGTTGAGCCATTGGTTCCTTGGTAAATAGACCTGTTTTATCAACCCAAGATTAACCACATTGGAATATCTTTGCCTTCACTGAAACAAATTCTAACAAAATTTGAACAAAACACTTGTTAAGATAAATACTTGTTCTGGACTGAGAAGTGCTGAGTAAGATTAACTTTGAAGCTGATCTTTGAAAGGGAGAAAGTCCTGTTGGCCTTGAAGGTTGAACATGGCTGCAAACCATGGATAAACATCCCCAAAACAGAATTGGTCCATTCTCCATAAGGCACTTGAAATGTGTGGTTGCTACTGTTCAAGTTCAAACTAAAGCTGTTCTGTGGAGGATCTGAAAAAGAAATCATATTCATCAAACATGTGCTCAATAGCGCATTTTATATTCAAGTACAAGTGGTACCGTGCAATTTGACCTCCCACAATTTGACCATCCTGAAATTCAACGCTGGTCAAATTTGCCGGGTGGTTGTTTCTCAATTTGCTGTCTGCCACAAAATGTGGCTTGTGGAGAGACAGAAAACATCAAATGCCATGTTGAAAACATTCCATTTGACATTGTCTCACATTTTCATCACTTTGCAATTCAACCCTAGTCCAGCAACAAATTTGGGTCAAATTGCAATGTACCACCTGTACAACAGCCTCATTATACCATTGATGTTGTAATGCTCATAACTCCCATCTGCGTTGGTAATCCTCATAGAACTAAGGTTACCAAAAACTGGCACAGCCAGTTCATCAAAGAATTCTTCTGGAGTTTTGCCAATTTTTCCCAAGTGCCCAAACAAGATTGGGTCAATGCCCTTGAAGGAGGGCCATTTTTCAAAGAGAATTCCAGAATATTTCTCCATCTTGCTGAAGCTGTATCCTGGCTGAAAACATATTGTTATCCAGGGTATGTCCTGAGGACTTATTTCTTGGATTGTGGTGAAGGTCACCAGAGGTGCTGATGAGAACTTAAACAGAATTGGTCCATTCTCCATAAGGCACTTGAAATGTGTGGTTGCTACTGTTCAAGTTCAAACTAAAGCTGTTCTGTGGAGGATCTGAAAAAGAAATCATATTCATCAAACATGTGCTCAATAGTCCATTTTATATTCATGTACAAGTGGTACCGTGCAATTTGACCTCCCACAATTTGACCATCCTGAAATTCAACGCTGGTCAAATTTGCCGGGTGGTTGTTTCTCAATTTGATGTCTGCCACAAAATGTGGCTTGTGGAGATACAAAAAACATCAAATGCCATGCTGTAAACATGCCATTTGACATTGTCCCACATTTTGACCACTTTGCAATTCAACCCTAGTCCAGCAACAAGTTTGGGTCAAATTGCAATGTACCACCTGTGCAACAGCCTCATTACCATTGATGTTGTAATGCTCATAACTCCCATCTGCATTGGTAATCCTCATAGAACTAAGGTTACCAAAAACTGGCACAGCCAGTTCATCAAAGAATTCTTCTGGAGTTTTGCCAATTTTTCCCAAGTGCCCAAACAAGATTGGGTCAATGCCCTTGAAGGAAGGCCATTTTTCAAAGAGGATTCCAGAATATTTCTCCATCTTGCTGAAGCTGTATCCTGGCTGAAAACATATTGTTATCCAGGGTATGTCCTGAGGACTTATTTCTTGGATTGTGGTGAAGGTCACCAGAGGTGCTGATGAGAACTTCACCAAGAAGGCTAAAGACTGAAAAATTCATAAAGTAAAAACCACATATTTAATTATTGATTAAAGTATTTTTTTAAATTCTGCTCACCTGAAGAGTGGCCAGGAGGAAAAATGCAAACTGGAAAACACCAAGGACCCAGGGTCTGATAGAATCATTCCAAATGTCATTCTGCTGTCCTGTCATCCTTCCCACACCCTGAGCAAACTGAAAATGCTTATACCCCAAGTAAACCCATGGTAGAACCCATTTGTGCGCCATGCATAATTTAAGCATCTTTTATGCCTTGGCTGAGACATTTGATGCAGTTTCTGTTGTTGACTAATGTGCCCCAAAGTGCAATCTCTTAATTCTTTCAAAACACATTGATTAATGCCCAAGATTACCATCACAATTCAGCCTAGTATAGAAATTAGGGTATATGAAGAAGCAAGTGCTTATACAGAAAGTGTAATTATTGTGTGTGGATTGGCATGAATTATTCAACAGAAATATCTCCTGATCAGATTAAGCAATCATATTGAAAGTTGTTTTGAATTGTATCTCATTCTCATGACATTCAACATTATGGCATCCATTTTCTGGAGCTCACAATGTTTTATTTCATGCTTTACACATTTTTGAATGTGACATCTTTCCTTTAAAACGTTATCCAATCATCCAAAGAAATCATTATCCTAAAAGTAAGTGGAAGTGAATAAAAAACACACCTGGGATAGTAAAAGAATATACAGAATATATTTTTTGCAAACACCCAGCAAGATTGAATCCAAGGAATAAAAGTCCATCAAAAGCATTCATCATGAATGTGTCTTCTATCACAATTTTTCCGCCATCATGAAAATTTCTGGTCATCACATTTCAATACCTCTACAATTTTTTGAGCAAAACATGCACAAGGGCTTCAAAAATAGGAAAAAAATGTATAATTTCAATCATGATAAGCAGCAAGAATTAAAAATTTTTGCTTTTGTCTTGAAATTAAGGTTTCTGATTGTCAGACTTCATCAGCTAGAATTATTCAAACTATTTGTTAACCACATGACTCAATGAACCCAGCTTCAGTTTTTCAATCATTTTTTGCTAAAATTCTGCCTTATGGTTTTGAATTAATTTCCATTTATTTTGGCAATCTTGTTCAAAGTCAGCATCACTAAACACCAAAAATATCAGGATCAAATTTTAGAACTGAAGCATCACAAATGGTGCATCTACATTTTTCCTTTGGAAACTTTATAATTGTGTCTCACACAAATATTTCTAAAATATGTTGTTGCACTGACACACCTCAGTCATGAAGTACTGTATATTTGTAACTATTTTTGGGGAAATTAAAATTCTGAAGCTTTTCCATTCATTTTTCAATCACTATCAAATATTGCAATGAAATAAAAATTATTACTTATCAAATATTGCAATGAAATAAAAATTATTACTGTCACTACATCTTAGGAAACCCACAATCAAAAGAATAAGGAAAAATGTAAAGAACCAGACTATTTGATTTAAATAAAGCTAAAATAACTCTCTGAAGAGGTGATGTGTAATAGAAATTTCAGAAAATCAAAAGTGCATTTCTTGCTGCTGTTCTATTGTCTTATATTTTGTTGATGATGCTGGAGCCAATATTTCAATGTGGTGCCTCAGTCTTCTTCATCATCGTCGCCATTTTGAGCAACAGCAGAATGCTGATTCGATATCACTTTGCTGACAAACTTCAACAAGAGCTTATGGAACTTGTCAGGTTGATCCACGTACGCAGCATGTCTAGCTTCAGGCAGCTCTTTCACCTGGGCCCTTGGCAACGCTCGCGTCACCAGAGACTCTGTAGACTTGCGTCCTCTACCGTCCCATTCACCAAACATGAGTAGAGCCGGGACTTTAAGCGCGGATAGGTGTCGCGCTTGCTCATCAGTAAGAGACTCTGACAGCAGCGGCGCTACAGCGACTAATCCGGCAACCGTGGCGCTTTGCTGCACCAGCATCGGCACGGCGTAAGACGCGCTCATGGAAGGGGCGACGAGGATCACGCGTGTGCTGCCCGCCAGGTGTCGCACCAAGGAAGTTAGAAATGCCCCGCGGAATGCTGGAGCGATATCTGCTGGCTGAGTGAGGCGACCGGCGTCCGCAGAACCTTTTTTGTGTGTGTGTGTGTGTCGTTGTTGAAATGAAAATTGGATGCTTATCAGCGAAAAATGTTTTAGGGGCATTGTTCAAGACATGGACAAACCTGTGGGGAGGTCCACTGCAAAAACTGGACACCCTGTTTTAGAAGCCAGAAGGGACATGGTCCCAAAGTTCTGCCACAGCTTGGAACTGAATGCAGCTCCATGCAGCAATACCACAGACAGACAAAAGTCTTTCTGCTCACTAGGTGTCGCTCTTCTCACAAACACATGAGTTCCCATCACCTGCAATAAGTGGTAGCAAGTCAGAATTTAGCACTGGCTGATATATAATATATTTAGCAGAATACTATTATACAAAATTGCCATTCTTCATAAGAAAGGGATGCACTAATCTTGAATCTTTTTTTTTAAGCTTGACAATTATGTTCTAATCTTGGATACACTTGATACTATACTTGTATCTATGCAAGATTTCAAGGTGAAGGAAAAATCAATTTGAATGAAAAATCATTTTAAAATTTTCAAGTTGCATGCAAGTGATCCAAATATTATACACGTTTTTTTTTTGCACATCCCACTCTTTAACCTTAATTTTCTGGTGTAAAATATTCTCAGGAGAATCAAATAAATATAGTGAGTCCCAACATAAAGAACCAAGGAAACACAAGTTTGGCAGAATGATGATTCTTATGGGGAAAGGAGACTTGTGGATTGTTTCACATACCTTTGTTTTAACCATAAAATGCTCTCATTTTATCACATTCTCATCTAAACTTTGAAATCTCTGCAAAAATTGAGGCATATGAGAAAAGAATGGTATAATTTTGCAGATTATTGACTTTGAAATTTGTGAAATTCAGAATGTCATGAGCAAGGAGCTACTTTTAGGATTGTTCCTTCCATTTCATATCAATCAATTTTAAATTTACAACTGTGTGCTGAAAAGGCAAACTTTTTATGGCCTCTTGGTGAGCATCTGAAACAAATTGAATCACTTACAAATTATATAGGCTGAATTTTTCCACAGTGTTGCAAAAATTTTTCATGGATGCAAGACTTGTTGGTCCTTGGAATTCTCTTTCCATTTCATAAGAGTCCTCTCCAGTGAAAATCTCTACAATTATTGTTTCTGGTCCCCTGAATTTATTTGTTGCAGTCCATCAGCACTCTAATCTCAAGTGAAAATACATTCAACTGAGGAAAATCCCACATAACAATATGCATCCAGGAGCAGATTAACTTCAATCTGCAAAGAACCACTTTTGCAGTAATTAGATCTTAATTAAACACATTTTTTTCCAGGCCAATGTCCCCAGTATTATCCTAAATTTACTTCATACTCACCTCCACAATCTCCTCAGTGATAGTCACTCCATTCTCATCAGGCTTCTCAGGATGGTGTTTCACAGCCCCATTTATAGCTTCTGGGAGATTCTGAGAATCTTGCTGGTTGACAATCACCCCAATGAAGGCCACCAGTGCAACAGCCACTAGGAAGACACTAGCCACTAGTCTGGACTTGCTGCAACTGCTGCCAGCCAATAGTGACACTAGTTTTCTTCTCAACACTGATGGTTTGTCATGAAAATTCACTTCATGCAGCATTTTTGCCAATTTTGTTTTACAAAACTCAGTCAGGATTTCAGTTCATTATCCAAAGTCAATATGTGCACCTGAAAAAAAATAAAAAGCACTGCCACAATTGCTCAGGAGGCAGGACTCAGCAAAAGCATGGCTTCTAATTGCAAGAAAAAAATTGCAGTCTGCCAAGAAAATTATCCCCCAAACAAAATCCCAATTGCAAAGGCTACAACATGTTTTGATTCCCCAATCACTATCACAAATGGATTTCTTCACATCATGTCACAATCGCAATTATAATCACAACTCTTTTCACCATTTTCATGCCCTACTTTTTATAAATTTTCTCAATAATTTCATGATTGATCCCAAATGAATATAAAATGTCAATCCTGTGGATGGATGTGAAGAGCACCAAAGAAAATCCAATCAAAGCAACCCTCCTGTATTTATTATACAGAAGCAATCTTTTCTGAAAAATGTATGCACTGCTGCACTTATTTGGCACTGGTTGTGATTGTTATTACATCAGTTGCACCCCAATTGAAAGTACAATTACAAGCCTATTCAAAAACCAATGCCTGATTGCAATCACTATATACATGCAATGCCCAAAATATTTTATTATCAAATCAAAATCATATTGCTTGTGATTGCACTAATTTGTGGTGCAATAAAAATTTCAACTATGGGGGAACACTGTCAGGATAAACAAATTCACATTCACACAATTGAGCTCTCATTCAAATTTGACTGTGAAATAAATGTAATTTAGATAGTCCCAGTAAATGTTTCATTCCATCATTATATAAAAAAAAAAGGCTGATGATTGTCAAGCAGAACCAGAAGCAGACAAGCAGCAGAGTGAAACTGGAGGCAAGTGAAAGAGCTCAGTTCCACAACAACTGGGGCAAGGAGAGATGGTGGACTTCAGAGTGAGGGAAAGAAATGCGCACAGGGTTATCTGCTAAAAACAAATTACTATACTAATGGGTGTCTCTTTTGAAAGAATAACGCGCAATGAAAGCTGTACAGGGAAGCTTGCAAATGAGAAGTTTCTAGAAAACTGTTTGGTTTGTGTGATTGTGTGTGCACAATATTTTGCAGCATTCTCCAAGCAAAAAGTGGATTCTGATTTTTTCAAGCTAATTTTCCTGAAGGTATTGAAAGCTTTATTAAAAACGGATTTTACTTGAATACAGTCAACCCCCGTCTAACGGACTTGATTTGTGCAAGGTTCCCAAAGTTCTGCCACAGCTTGGAACTGAATGCAGCTCCATGCAGCAATACCACAGACAGACAAAAGTCTTTCTGCTCACTAGGTGTCGCTCTTCTCACAAACACATGAGTTCCCATCACCTGCAAGTGGTAGCAAGTCAGAATTTAGCACTGGCTGATATAGAATATATTTAGCAGAATACTATTATACAAAATTGCCATTCTTCATAAGAAAGGGATGCACTAATCTTGAATCTTTTTTTTAAGCTTGACAATTATGTTCCAATCTTGGATACACTTGATACTATACTTGTATCTATGCAAGATTTCAATGTGAAGGAAAAATCAATTTGAATGAAAAATCATTTTTTAAAATTTCAAGTTGCATGCAAGTGATCCAAATATTATACACTTTTTTTTGCACATCCCACTCTTTAACCTTAATTTTCTGGTGTAAAATATTCTCAGGAGAATCAAATAAATATAGTGAGTCCCAACATAAAGAACCAAGGAAACACAAGTTTGGCAGGATGATGATTCTTATGGGGAAAGGAGACTTGTGGATTGTTTCACATACCTTTGTTTTAACCATAAAATGCTCTCATTTCATCACATTCTCATCTAAACTTTGAAATCTTTGCAAAAATTGAGGCATATGAGAAAAGAATGGTATAATTTTGCAGATTATTGACTTTGGAATTTGTGAAATTCAGAATGTCATGAGCAAGGAGCTACTTTTAGGATTGTTCCTTCCATTTCATATCAATCAATTTTAAATTTACAACTGTGTGCTGAAAAGGCAAACTTTTTATGGCCTCTTGGTGAGCATCTGAAACAAATTGAATCACTTACGAATTATATAGGCTGAATTTTTCCACAGTGTTGCAAAAATTTTTCATGGATGCAAGACTTGTTGGTCCTTAGAATTCTCTTTCCATTTCGTAAGAGTCCTCTCCAGTGAAAATCTCTACAATTATTGTTTCTGGTCCCCTGAATTTATTTGTTGCAGTCCATCAGCACTCTAATCTCAAGTGAAAATACATTTAACTGATGAAAATCCCCCATGAAAAAATGCATCCAGGAACAGATTAACTTCAATCTGCAATGAACCACTTTTACAGTAATTAGATCATAATTAAACACATTTTTTTCCAGGCCAATGTCCCCAATATGATCCTGAATGTACTTTATACTCACCTCCACAATCTCCTCAGTGATAGTCACTCCATTCTCATCAGGCTTCTCAGGATGGTGTTTCACAGCCCCATTTATAGCTTCTGGGAGATTCTGAGAATCTTGCTGGTTGACAATCACCCCAATGAAGGCCACCAGTGCAACAGCCACTAGGAAGACACTAGCCACTAGTCTGGACTTGCTGCAACTGCTGCCAGCCAATAGTGACACTAGTTTTCTTCTCAACACTGATGGTTTGTCATGAAAATTCACTTCATGCAGCATTTTTGCCAATTTTGTTTTAGAAAACTAAGTCAGAATTTCAGTTCATTATCCAAAGTCAATATGTGCACCTGAAAAAAAAATAAAAAGCACTGCCACAATTGCTCAGGAGTCAGGACTCAAAAGCAGGGCTTCTTATTGCAAGAAAAAAATTGCAGTCTGCCAAGAAAATTATCCCCCAAACAAAATCACAATTGCAAGGCTACAACATGTTTTGATTCCCCAATCACTATCACAAATGGATTTCTTCACATCATGTCACAATCACAATTATAATCACAACTCTTTACACCATTTTCATACCCTAATTTTTACATTTTTCTCAATAATTTCATAATTGATCACAAATTAATGCAAAATGTCAATCCTGTGGATGGATGTGAAGAGCACCAAAGAAAATCCAATCAAAGCAACCCTCCTGTATTTATTATACAGAAGCAATCTTTTCTGAAAAATTTATGCTCTGCTGCACTTATTTGGCACTGGTTGTGATTGTGATTACATCAGTTGTACCCCAATTGAAAGTACAATTGCAAGCCTATTCAAAAACCAATGCCTGATTGCAATCACTATATACATGCAATGCCCAAAATATTTTATCATCAAATCAAAATCATATTGCTTGTGATTGCACTAATTTGTGGTGAAATAAGCAATTCAACTATGGGGGAACACTGTCAGGATAAACAAATTCACATTCACACAATTGAGCTCTCATTCAAATTTGACTGTGAAATAAATGTAATTTAGATATTCCCAGTAAATGTTTCATTCCATCATTATACATAAAAAAAAAAGGCTGATGGCTGTCAAGCAGAACCAGAAGCAGACAAGCAGCAGAGTGAAACTGGAGGCAAGTGAAAGAGCTCAGTTCCACAACAACTGGGGCAAGGAGAGATGGTGGACTTCAGAGTGAGGGAAAGAAATGCGCACAGGGTTATCTGCTAAAAACAAATTACTATACTAATGGGTGTCTCTTTTGAAAGAATAACGCGCAATGAAAGCTGTACAGGGAAGCTTGCAAATGAGAAGTTTCTAGAAAACTGTTTGGTTTGTGTGATTGTGTGTGCACAATATTTTGCAGCATTCTCCAAGCAAAAAGTGGATTCTGATTTTTTCAAGCTAATTTTCCTGAAGGTATTGAAAGCTTTATTAAAAACGGATTTTACTTGAATACAGTCAACCCCCGTCTAACGGACTTGATTTGTGCAAGGGACGAGTCTGTTAGACAAAAAGTCCTTTACACGAATTTAATTGCATAAAAAATTAAAAATTTCAATTTTCAACACTAATTTTAAACCAAAAGAAGTCTGTTTGGCAGATTTTGTCTGTTGGGCAGGAGGAAAAACTGCTTGCAGAGATGGTCTGTTTGGTGAAAACCCCTTACACGGGAGGTCTGTTAGGCGGGGGGCCACTGTATACTGTTTTTAACCACTTTACTTCTTTATATACTCAATCAAAGTGGATGAGTGTTTTTCAAGTATCATAAGAGTTTGAAGTGAAATTGAAATTTTTAGGGCGTACAGTATACATTTATTCTGAAATATTTTTCTAAAGCCAACCTGTTACTCTGTTCACTGAGGTCCAGTGAGAGTGAAAAAAAAGTCCAACACAGGCTTTCTGATGAAGACTTGGCCTCGCGTGGACAAAAAAAAAAAAAAAGCGCCAAACTGCTGCTGCCTTCTATTTTCTATATACTCATGCATCCACCGCAAAAAAAAGGACAAAAGAATAAGAAGAAGAAGAAGACAAAGAAAATAGGCGTACAGTAAAATTAAAACAGGAAATAGAAGCAGTCAATTGATGACGAAATCATTTGAAGGAAGAAAAAAGCGGGATTTCGCAACTCGTACTTGGCACGAAAATCTCCATTTTGTTTTTCACGCTCGGGAAATTTCCTAAACTATTTCCTGGTTTTTTTTTTCGGGGGAAGAAAAGGAAGAACAAATGATTAGAATAATAAAGCCGGAAAATTTCTCTCCCATATAGCCTTCACCAAAATCTTCTTTTTTATTTAATTAAAAATTCCCCTTTCCATTTTGTTCAAGTTTATATAAGAAAATATCACGCCTCATCAAACGTGTTCCCAATCGATGGCTTCTTGTTTTTTTTTTGTTGCTTAATATATGACGTCCCTCGTCCACGAAACAAGCATGAAAAAAGCCAGAGAAGAAGCTTTCTTTGTGCAGTGAAAACCCGCTTTCCAACAACAACAAAAATTAATTTTTTTAGCAGAACTGCACCAAGTATATAATGTAGTCTGTATTTCATAAAAACCGAAGAATTTCCCTTCAGAAAATGTCCTTGGAATAATACTAAACACAGGTGCCTGGAGTTTCTTTAAGAATTCCTTGCATTTTTTACAGTGAAATCTTGTTGAAACAAACTTTTGGGGACTTCCAAAAAAGATTACAATACAGTACTGAATATATTTGATATAAAAAGCTTTTTAAAATTAGTTATGGGGAAATTTTGTGCATCAAAAATGCCTATAATTAATTACAGTTTTATTTTCTGGCATTCTCAGATTTTTATTATTGTTTGAAAAACAGAGTAAAGAGGTATTCTGAAAATAAAATAAACTTCAATCAAGCATTTATCAGTTGCACCAATCTCTTCATTCTATGTGGAGCCACTTGTGAACATTTTTATCATATATCACTGCTCTCATTCATATGTTGAAAGAGCCAAATTTTAACTTTTTGGATTCAAAATTTCAGACTGTTGTGTCTGCTTTAGTTCAGGAAAATACTACTCAAACAATCTATACTAAATATTCCCCAAAAAAGTTTCTTTTACTGGAATAATTGGGAAGCTTGAAATAACAAGATTGTTTGAAAATGTGCTCTATATGGGCTTTCTGCCATGGACTCAACACAAATTTCTAATGCTGAATAATTTGTTGTAATGGTATTTGTTGTAACAATATCTTACTGTACTGTATAGCATGGTTTGAACAAATTGGTACCTCTTCTGCTGTGTAAATGTCACTTGAGCATAAAGTACTCTTGGCAGAATCAAGTGCCAAACATTTGCACTGTATTCTACTCTATATTCAATAACCATGCAACACCTATTTCTATTACAGTCAACCCCCGTCTAACAGACTTGATTTGTGCAAGGGACAAGTCTGTTAGACAAAAAGTCCTTTACACCAATTCAATTACATAATCTGAAAGTTTCAGCTTGCTAGCTAGTTGGGAAGTGAGCAAAATTTGAGTTGCAAAATTTGATCCAGACAAACAAACGGACAAGAAAGCGAGTTGATAAAAATGTGTTAAAATCAACTTCAATCAAGCATTTATCAGTTGCACCAATCTCTTCATTCTATGTGGAGCCACTTGTGAACATGTTTATCATTTATTACTGCTCTCATTCATATGTTAAAAGAACCAAATTTTCTCTTTTTGGATTCAAGATTTCAGACTGTGTCTGCTTTAGTTCAGGAAAATTCTACTCAGAGAATCTATACTAAATATTCCACAAAAAATTTTCTTTTACTGGAATAATTGGGAAGTTTGAAAGAACAAGATTGTTTGAACATGTACTCTGTATGGGCTTTCTGTCATGGACTCAACAAAAATTTCCAATTCTGAATAGTTTGTTGTCATGGTATTTGTTGTAACAATATCTTACTGTACTGTATAGCATGGTTCAAACAAATTGGTACCTCTTCTCCTGTGTAAATGTCACTTGAACATAAAGTACTCTTGGCAGAATCAAGTGCCAAACATTTGCACTGTATTCTACTCTATATTCAATAACCATGCAACACCTATTTCTATTATTATTATTCAACATATATGTCACCTAAATTAATGGCCAGCACCACTGACCAGACCAAACTTGACTCATAACCTGATGACATGACATAGACTAACATTTTCTCATTTGGAAAACAACAACAAAATTAAAATAAAAAGCGAATTTCAAGTTGTGATTGACATTTAAAAAATATATGCTGCATAGAAATAATGGCAGGACTTTTTGAATACCCCAGGAATGGCTGAAGAGAGAAACGAGTGTCACAAGCAGTGGACCAAAACAGGCCAATGGCCCGGTTTTCCATTTCATGTGACCACCACCACCACCATCTTTAATCACCTCGGACTTCAGTCCCCCTAATCACCGGTTCCTCAATTTTCTTTCCTTATCCTCAGAAAGAGCTGATCAGCATCAGTAGTCCCTTCTATCAGAGGATTTTTCTGCCCAAATCATTACACAAAGAAAGGAAATAATCGCAAGGCAAGATTTTCGTTTCTGGTACAAAACAAAAAATGGACAATGGTTTATTCACACCACTAGACAACAGAAAAATAAAATGGACCACGGAATTCTTAATTGAAGAGAGAGAGAAAAAAAAAAGAAAGTCAATAAGTTCCAGAATGCCGCTCGCATTTGAGACCAAAATTCGCTGTGGAAGGAAATCCAGAACTAGGCAAGAATTGGCAGAATACATATACTTTTACTCATACAAAATAAAAGGAAGAGTAAGTTATTATGACCCAGTTTCTTACTCATCATTTCCTGGACAAGAAAAAAAGACAGAACTACTGAGGGAATGATCATAAATTAGATTGCCAGAGTTTTTAGGCAGTAAAAACCATAAACTTATGCTGATGTCAACCATCCTAAAAGTATTCACTTGAGAAGAAAGTTTCAAACATAATTCCATGAAACTTTCCTCAGCAATATTGAGGTTTTCAAGAGCATTTAAATATCTTAAACACTCTTGAAACCTTTCACTATTGGCTAGCAAAAAATTTGATGAAATTCAAGAAATTTAGCACTTTGGAATGTCCAGGCAATTAATGAGCAGAACTGAGTCACCACAACTGTAAAACTTGAGGAGTTTCCATCTATCAATTTAAAAGCAATCAATAACTGCTGGATGGTGGTCCATAAGAGTCAGAAGGTGGCCCATAAGAGTCCTGAGGCTGATGGTGATGATGATGATGGTGGTTGTTGTTATGGTTGTGGTGATGGTTCCCCACAACTGGGACTCCATAAGATGGTGACAAAGGTGAACCATAAGAAGGAGCTGGTGCTCCATAAGAAGGAGCAGGGGCACCATAGGAGGGTTCAGGTG